TAAACAATAAATTTATGATATCAAATTCAAAATATTTACGGTATAAGTTAAAAAATGGGAAAAGTTTTTATTAGTAAACTAGAAGGTTTGGTAATTGCAATACAAAATTTTAAGGAATCGGATGAGACGAAAGATATATCTTATTTCAATTGAGCTTTTTAAATCTCATATTTCTATAGAATATGTTTTTTGTAATAAATTTTGAGGTACACAATCCCTAAATCTACATGTTCCCTATTCAAAACTTGGAACGGACCTCACGCTTACGTTATTTTTTTCTACTTCCCAACCTATAAGATAAAAACCCCGTCTAATAGAAACTTCATTCTCCAAAATGATAACGATCTAAACACCCTAATATCAAGAAGCAAACTCCTTACGTTATTTCCTTCCGCATCCCAACCGTCAAAATAAAAACCCCGTCTAATAGAAACTTCATTGTCTAAATTGATGACGATCTAAACACCTTAATATTAAGAAGCAAACTCTAAAATGTGATCTAAACATTTGCCGCAAGATTTGCTAAAATGCACTCTAAAAAAATGGATATATCAAACTCTAGATTGATATTATCAAATTAAAATTTGTTTTGCCAAAAAAAATAGAGACTCAATCCAAGAAGACCGACTTTATCAACTAAAACCAAAAAACATATTAATCTTAATTCTATAAAAAAAATAACTCTAACAAAAAAAATAAAAAGTCTATCTAAATCTCTAACTATAAAATTAATAAAAATAAAATAAAATTTTGCTACCGGATTCCATGGCACTTCACATTAGCAGCTAACTGCCATCACAAACTCACAGACTGTACGTGGAGCATTTTCGACCTCTATCATGAGGCCAACATGGTAGCATATACACTCCTCAAGAAGGAGATAACTCTCTCTACTACTCTATTTTTGTTTTTTTATTTTGACAAAATTCAATATTTATTGATAATAAGCGGAATTACAAGATTGCAGCGATATCAGCAGATGAAACAAAAGTAGCAAGATAAACACCCTTTTTAGCTAAAGAATCAGCCAAATCATTAGCCTCCTTATACACATGTTGCAAGGAGCAAGTCAGAGAGGACAGAAGCTCAAATATTTGAATCCCGATCCACTTGAGTTTCCAAGAGATACATTGCTCGTTTTTACACCAGTTAACCACATTCATTGAGTCCCCTTCTATGATTATACCTCCTACATAATTTTCTGCTAGTAATAATTTCAGACTATGATGAATCGTGAGCATTTCAGTCTGGTTAGCCATGGTAACTCTACATGGCCCAGCAAAATCGAGAATAACCTGACCTTGCCAATCTCGAATAGCTCCTCTAAAACCTGCTGGGCCTGGGTTACCCAACGAGCTTCCATCAAAGTTTAGTTTTAGCACTCTTCGATCTGGTGGTTTCCATCCGGGCTATGGTCTGATCTTTGATACATCCACAAAAAAAAAGTTGGAAAGGTTAATCATGACATCAACCTTCGACAAGCCCCAGCCTTCCTTATTCACCAACAATACCCACGAAGAAAAGAAAGAAGTTGGAAAGGTTAATCATGACATCAACCTTCGACAAGCCCCAGCCTTCCTTGTTCACCGACAATACCCACGAAGAGCCACACACACACACACACACCTCTCTCTCTCTCTCTATAATCCGCAAAGATAACTTGTTTTTATTCGCCAAAAATAAACCCCCATTACATCTTCTAAAACTAAAGCCATAAAAAAAGATAAAGTCAACTCTTCCAAATAAAGCAAAGCTGGACTTACTAAAGACTACCTTTTAAGGGTAACCCATAAAAATCTTTAAGGGGTCGTTTGCATACCTGGAAATGTATTGTCTGTGAAATATATTACTGGCATAATATATTACCTGCAAATAGATTGTTACTATTTGGGTAGTATTTAGACACAACCAGATAAATACATTGCCACTGTTTAGCTATGTCTTGAAGAAATATGAGAAATGCATTACTAACATTTTACCAGCACGCTGATAAACTATCTTCTTTTTTTTTTGTCATAAAATTCTAGTGAAATGCGGAATTAAATTCATCTTCACACCAAAATATTTTCTAATAATAACATCATTACCGTTCCAAAAAGATTTTCTAATAATAACTTCTACCATTCTAAAATTTTCATGACATCATTTCCTACTTATTTTACATGTTTTTGGCACTTATATAGAATCACATGTCTTCTAACATGATTAGACTTGGTTTCAACATGATAAGTCATTGGAATAACATGATTTTAATGTGATAAGCCTTATTTTTATTTATTTTTTATAGAAGTTTTTCAAATGTCTTTCTATATAATTTTAAATAAACAATAAATTTAAGATAGCAAATTCAAAATCTTTATCGTACAAGTTAAAAAATGGGAAGAAGTTTAATTACCGTAGAAAATTTTGAGGTATTATAGGAAATTAAAGAGGTATCTTTTTTCAATTGAGTTTTTACTGATCTCTTATTAGGATTAATCGTGTGAAGTTTTTTATTATGATTGTGTTGTTTAATGTATCACTGATTATCAATTATTATTTTTGTTTTTACGTGAGAGCTGACAGCTTTCTATGAAGGCTATAATCCAAATTGGAGATAGAGAGATATAGAAATGGATGTGGGCAGGAGAGTGTAGAAATGGATGTGCATATGCGCAAACACTTATAAGAGGAATTTAGAGAAAATGTATAAATGGATATGCGCGTATAAATGGATATGTGCATAAAAGAGAGAATGGGAGGCCGAATGGATAGGCATAGGAGAAAGGGAGAAAGGCGAGAAATAGATGATTTTTTAGAGAGAAAGTAGAAATGGATTTGAGCAGGAGAAAGGGAGAATGGATGGTCATAGAAGAGAGGGAGAATGACTAGAAATAGATGATATTTTTTTGGTGAGAGACACTTAGTTTGATTACCCGTCAAGGGCCTAATAAATTTTACAGCAATATGGGCTTAATAGATTTTACGTAATTTGAGAAAATCTTGTATAATTTATTTTTATTTTTTTATCATTAAAATGTATCCAAACATATTCCATGTAATATGTTTCCCATAATAGATTTTGAGGTATTCAAATAGCCCCTAAATCTCTATGTTCCTTATTCAAAAATAGGAACGGACCTCTACCTTTCGTTCTTTCCTTCCACATCCTAACCCATAAGATAAAAACCCCCTCTAATAGAAACTTCATTCTCTAAATCGATAACGATCTAAACACCTTAATATTAAGAAGCAAAACTCTAAAATGTGATCTAAAGATTTACCACAAGATTTGCTAAAATGGACTCTAAAAAAATGGACTTATTAAACTCTAGATTGACCTTATCAAATTAAAAATTGTTTTGCCAAAAAAAAATACAAACTCAATCCAAGAAGACCCACTTTATGGACTAAAACCAAAAAACATACTGATCCTATTTTTATAAAAAAAATAGTTCTAACAAAAAATAAAAAGTCTATCCAAATCTTTAACAATAAAATTAATAAAAATAAAATAAAATTTCGCTACAGGAATCCATGGGCACTTCACATTAGCAGCTAACTGCGATGACAAACTCTCATACCATAAGTGGAACATTATCGACATCTATAATGAGGCCAGTATGATAAAAGATACACTCCTCAAGAACGAGAAAACTCTCTCTACTAATCTAGTTTGGCGTGCTAGACTATCGGATTTCAATTATTTGTCTTTAACTCCTGAATTTCCCTATAATAGGCCTATAACGCTATGATTTGTACCTTCTGTGCTTTTAGTTAATGAAAAATGGGTAGGGCCCTTCTCCCCCACTTAATTAAAAAAATATATAGTGCTCAAAGTAAAAGCCATGAATTGAAAACTTTCGTACACAAGGAACCTAATGGAAACACGGGGTGAGAGCAAGAAGTTGGTATAGAGAGAGAGAGGAAAGTGAGAGAGAGCCAAGGGAAATGCGAGGGTTCTCGAATATCAGATTTCATGATGTTTTGGATATATTCAATATCATAAATATTTAAATGATTTCAAATGTTCAAAATCCGTCCATAGGCAATTCGGAAAAGAGTGATTTATGTACTTATATGTAGAAATTATAAATTTTTAAGTAAAATACGAAATAATCCACTTATATGTAGAAAATACAGTCAAACAACCTTTTTATTATTTTTTTTAAAAGTGCCCATCTGTCAACCCAAATTTTAATATTTTTTTTTAAAAAATTTGTTAACTTCTTGGGGCATTGCCCTACTAATGAAAAGCTAAAAAATAAAAAATAAAAAATAAAATAAAATCAAAATTCAGCTTGATTGAGGGGTAATTTTGAAAAAAAAAAATAAAAAACAAGAGAGTTGGCCGACCTTTTTTATAATTTCTGCCTATAAACGGAACATTTAATATTTCATTTAAAGTTTTAAAGTCCGTACATAAATCACTGTTTGCAAAAATAATTCCAGGCCACCTAAAAATGGGTATATATGTAATATATGAAAATCCGAATGTAACAAGTGAAACTTTTAAGTGATATTGTAGTAACGGTAAAAATTAAAATTAAAAATAGTATTTTTTTTTTAATATATTTTTCTACAGGTGCAAGACGATTAGAAGTACATGTTCTCCAAATTTGAACTAAATCGGACGAATTGGAAAATCTACATTATGAACTTTAAAGAATTGGATTTGATATTAAAAACTAGTATATAAATTATCATTTTTTTGACACAGTAAACCAACATTTCATTGAAAAAATGAAAATAGTCCACAGATGATATATAAAAACTAAATATATTGAAATCAAAGCAAATAAATGTGGGGAGAGACAAAAGACAAAAGGTGAACGTGGTGGTTGTTCAACTTGTTCCCTCCTCCGACGCTAAGATTTAGTCTTTGATTCTCGCCTAATTTATTAAAAAGTCAGCAATAAAGGATGGGGGTCGGTATGGTAGTCCCATCGAGGCGGATACAAGCCGCGGCCTTCATTTATACCCCCATCCGCTGTATTCATGACCCCAGCCTTCTCTAAAACTCTCCCCCTTTAAAACCTTTTTCCCCCTCTTATCAAAAAAGAATCACAAAAAAAAAACGAAAACCTGAGAGGGAAATCGGCCATGCGAGCCTCTCAAATCATGCCTAATTTCCAGAGCTCAGTTTGGCTCAAATATGTCAAACATAGTTTTCAGTACCTTGTAAACCACTTTCTCACTTTTCTCTTAGTCCCTATAATGGCAGCATCGGCTGTTGAGCTTTTACGCATGGGTCCGAAAGAGATCCTTCGTCTGTGCGACTCTCCCCACTTAGGCCTCGTCCATATACTCTGTTCGTCTCTCTTCATTGTTTTCATGGCCACTCTCTACTTTATCTCCAAGCCATACCCCATTTACTTGGTTGATTACACATGTTATAAGCCACCAGGCACTTACAGAGTACCACGCTCTTTCTTCCTAGAGCATCTTAAACTCTCGCCCTCCTTTGATCCAGAAAGTGTAAAATTTCAGTTTCGAATTCTGGAGCGCTCCGGTTTGGGGGAAAGGACCTGCGTGCCCCCCGCTCTCCACTACATAGCGCCAGACCCAACCATGGCTGATGCTCGAGCTGAGGCTGAGCTTGTTATCTTCTCTGCCATGGACGCATTATTTGAACGTACGGGGATCAAGCCTCAAGACGTTGATTTCTTGATAGTGAATTGCAGTATGTTTTCCCCTACTCCTTCGCTATCAGATATGGTGATCAACAAGTATAAGATGAGGAGCAACATCAAGAGCTTCAACCTATCTGGAATGGGATGCAGTCCCAGCCCCATCTCTGTCAATATAGCTCGTGATTTATTGCAGGCATGGTTCCTTCTAATATCCCAAGAATATGAACTTCTCTTTACTTAGGGTAGGTTAGTAAAGAAAAGAGTAATCGATAACTACACATACTTGGATTGTTCTTGAAACTCCTGCAACCTAAAAAGCAATTCGGACATCAGATAGAATTATTTTTTCTGCTCAAAATTCTTATCCCTGCCCTGATGGTGTTTATTCAGGTGCATGCAAATGCGTACGCAGTGGTGGTGAGCACGGAGATCGTCACCCCCAACTGGTACACCGGCAACCAGCGGTCCATGCTCCTCCCAAACTGTCTCTTCCGGATGGGAGCTGCCACCCTCCTGCTCTCGAACCGCCGCAGAGAAAGCCGCCGCGCAAAGTACCGTTTGATGCATGTTGTGCGCACCCACCGTGGCGCTGATGATCGTGCCTACCACTGTGTCTTCCAGGAGGAGGATGTCCAACGAAATGTCGGCATATCGCTCTCCAAAGATCTCATGGGAATTGCAGGTGAGGCCCTCAAATCGAATATCACGACTATGGGACCCCTCGTTTTGCCGGCTTCTGAACAACTCCTCTTCCTTCTCTCTCTATTTGCTCGAAAGATATTTAACCTGAAGTTGAAGCCTTATATTCCTGATTTTAAACAAGCTTTTGAGCATTTCTGCATACACGCGGGAGGGAGAGCGGTGATCGATGAACTGGAAAAGAATTTGCAGTTGTCTCCGGAGCACGTTGAGGCATCGAGGATGACACTTCATAGGTTTGGGAACACATCATCGAGTAGTTTGTGGTATGAGATGAATTACATTGAGGCTAAAGGGAGGATGAAAAAAGGTGATAGGAGTTGGCAAATTGGGTTCGGGAGTGGGTTCAAATGCAATAGTCTGGTTTGGAAGTGCAACCGAAGCATCAAAGCAGAGGCTGACGGGCCATGGGCGGATTGCATCGACCAATACCCCGTGCATACCGTGGAGGCTGTCAAGCTCCAACAGTGACATACGTATTAGAGCGAGCATGTTGGAGAATTAAAATTCACATGGTCGGCACCAATAAATTGATAAAAAAAAAGCTAAAATATTGATGATGACGATTTGTTAAAGAAAGTATATATTATTAGAATGATAGTTGTAGGATGTGTTATGTATGCTTGTGAACCCCAAAAAAGTGACATCTATGCATATGCACATGTCTATATATACATATATTGAAATTGACGTGTTGTTTACATCCGCATTTACATATTCAACATTCCACTCGTCACAATAACAGTAAAGCATCATAGAAAATTTAAATTAACTTATATAATCCCAAATATTCTCAAATTGATCATCTCGACATCTAGATGCATGGACATGAAAAAAAATGGATTTCAAGTTTTGGAAATAGTGGTCTTCTAACGCATTTGTGGACCATCACTTTTCAAGATTTTCAAGATTTCATAGATATGCTCGATCTATACTATTTATGAAGCTTTAAATTTTATAATTAAAGATGAAAATATATTTTAAATCTATCATAAAGATTTCCAGTATTGAAGCCATATTTCTCGATACTATTTGAAGGTTTGTTTTACTTTGAATGTTTAGAGCCTTGGCTCTGTAAAAACCGCACCCTATAATAATATATAGCTCACATAATAGTATAAGCCCAATACTCCAGATTGAATCTGGGACGATCTGACGGGCGAGAATATTTTAATTTTAATTTTTTTTTAACAAATCCAAATCAATTGAAATTTTAAGTAAATATTTTTCTCATCAAGTCATACTTAATAAAATATAAAAAAAATAATCCGTAAAATTAAAAATGACCAAAATACAACCAAAACTTTATGGGGGTATTTTGGTCTTTTTTTCATATAAAATATTTTTTTTAATATTTTTCAAATATTCACCTATTTTTTATCAACACATATCTAAAATTTCAAGTGATTCACATTTGTAAAAGAAAAATTAAAATTCAAACACTATCGGTTATCCGTGATCGTTAGATAATTCCAGATTCAATCTGGGCCATTGAGCTCATGTTTTTTTGTGACCCCATTGGTTCACAGAAGTATTTTCCTATATATATATATATATATATAGTTATAATATTTAAATATGGGTGTGGTATATATAGCATTGAGGCTCTAAATAATCAAATTAGAGCTACCATCAAATAGTGTCCAGAAATATAGTTTTAATACTAAAAATCTTTGTGATTGCCTTAAAATATATTTTCATATGAAATTTAAAGCTCAAAAAATAGTTTAGATTGAGCGAATTTATGAAAATTTGAAAATCTTAGAAATTGACAGTCCAAAAATACGTTACAAGATGTACTATTTTCAAAACTTGAAATCAATTTTTTTCTCATGTCAAGATAATCAATTTGAGGACATTTGGGCATCACAACCACCGCTTCTAGCAAAATTTTTGAGGTGGGCTCTAATTTAATTGTTTAGAGCCTCGGCCCTATATAAATTTTTTTCTCTAAATATTGCATGTTTAGATTTAATATATTTACAAAATATATTTAAATACCAAACAAGTTACCAACCATATGTAATTCATTACACAATGCTTTTTAAACGTGTGGTAAAAATAAACTTTGCATAAGTTCTTCTTATAAATTGTTTGAATATGTAAATGTTTTTATGGGGAAATGTTTATGCAGCAACCAATTGTGCCCTTACTGCATTAGAGATGGATGTAGCCAAGCTGTGCACAAGAGAGGTTGTTGACTACATGTCTGATTGGCTAATGGACGCAGGTTGTTTGCACCACATAATAAGCAATCGCAAGAAGTTATTCTTATGATTGCAAATCTTGAGGGCGATCGTGCTACAATAGCAGTGGAAAACCGGGTGAATTCAGTTCAAATGTGGGTAATGTGCATAATATTAGGCCGAGCGACAGTGAACATGCTAACCTAGAGGATGCGAATCATATTCCAGATATGGAGATCAATTAGGTGTAGGTATTGCAAATCACTGGTATATGACAACATGTGATGTTTGGATCCGACGTTGTCAAAGTGTTCGAGAAAGTGAAGTTTGAGGGTGAATTGATCACACATATTAAAAGGAGGAGATGGATGTTGTTTGCAGGGACTGTTGCAATTCATGTAAAAGGAACATAATTACAGATTATAGGGTTCTCGGGAACCCCTAGCTTGCGGAACTGGGAATCTCAAATAACGGTATCCCACCCAAGATTGTGTGCATGATTGACTAAATGCGAGGTGGATGAATAAACTTTTAAATTGAGTGCGAAAAATAAACTAAACATAAAAAATCACACCACAACAACACACGATTTACGTGGTGCACTCAATAGGGCTACATCTACGATCTCGGCAAGTCAAAATCCACTATCACAATGAAGAGTGCAGTTAGAGGCTACAAGAGATATACCTCTCTCTAAACATCGGTAAAAGACCTTCACCAATATTCTCTTTTAAACCCACTCTCCCAACCGAGCAATACCGTCGATCAATACCTTCTTTTTTACTGCAATACCGCAACTGGAAAGATAACCTCGAGAACAACCGAGAGATTTTCTTTCTCTAGAAGTAAAAGTTAACAAACTTAAAACTTATAGGAATACCACCTCTCTTTCAGAATATATGTCTCTCTTTCTTGGAGACTCATCACTTCTTTGGAGATTTATTCCCATAACCCCCAAAGGGGTGACCCTCAAAAGGATAAGTATTATGTTTTTCTTTATCTACTTTTATAGAGATCACTTGAGCTTCTTTTTTGCTCCCTAAAAAAACCATTCTCTTTTTACCATAATACCCTTAATCTTTTAATAAAAACATAAGTATGGTGATTTTGACTATCATCAAACCTAACATAAATAGTGCCACAAACAAATGTGAGGAGAACAATTATCACCCATGTCATTAGATGACGGAATTTCCAATAGCAATTCAGTTAGTTCATACAAAATGAGTGTATGGCAAGTTGTTGATACAGCAAGTGAGTCACAAGTTGCTTTTACATTAGAGGAATTGCAACCATCACAACAAAATGATCTCAAAGGGATTGGAGTCAAAAAAATGCAACCACAATGATTTTTATCGATTCGACTATAGCATCCGTAGTTTGGAGATGTAGCAAGTGCAAAAGAGTTGTCATTTGTACATTGTAGCTTATGCAGCCATTCCGATACTGCTGTGCAAATCTCATTAGATTAGCACTAGCTGTGCAGACTGTTGTGCATATCTCATTAGATTTAATAGAATTAGATAAGTGTATTGAGTTAGAATATCAATACAAATAGGAGACAATTAGTTCTAGTTGTTGGTGGTTGCCTATTTATACAGGTTAAGGCAACATTACAAAGAAGCCAATGGGATTAAGAGATTTTCTAAGAGAGAGAGAGAGAGTTCCATCCAAGGCATTGACAGGCATTAGTGTGAGATAAAGGTGAGAACAACAGAGAGAGAGAGAGTCATTGTTGTGCGTGGAAGCTCTAAACCTGACCGGTTGATTTTTTGGTGAATAAAATAAAGAAAAAAAAAAAAATCAAATAAAAAAACAAGCAACAAGAAACAAAAATAAAACAGGAAAGAAAAAACATGAAAAGAACACCAAGATTTACGCGATTCGTCACCGATGGGACTACATTCATGGGCGAAGACAATTGATGTTTTCTACTAAATCAAATAAAAAAAATTAAAAGGCAACTTACTTGAGAGAACCAGATTCTCAATCTCCCGTAAATCCTTCTTCTCTACAATTTTCCCTCTCTAAAAACCTCAAAAGGTCTTTCTCTAATTTTTTAAAACTTTATCTATTTATAATATATCCCAATTAGAGAGAAAAATATATTAAAGAGTACCCCATGTGATGGCCCCTGCTTTTTCCCATAAGCTTTCTCTCTTTACAAAAGTAACTTTATATATAGAGAATAAAGCCTTCCAAAAGTGGTACGTGAGGCTCTCTCAGTTTTCCTAACTTTATCAACAAAGTAAATTTATCCTTATTTACTTGTAGACCCAAAGCCCCATCGTAATCTAAGTAGAACTTATTCATAAACTTAAATTCTAAGTAATAGGCTTGATCTAAAAAATAAGATACCCAAATTAAAAAGAAACCAATCCCATAAAATAAGGATAAAAAATTCAAGAATATTATCAACAAATCTCCACCTTGGCTTAAATTTCAAAAGAGATTCTCATTGACCGTCTTCTCCACACGTGCCCTCATAGACGCTTACTTTGACAACACCTTAGTCAAATCCAAGCATAGCTTGGACTTCCGTAATGAAATTGTTAACATATCTGTAGTGTTCTTCTTGGTATGAATCTTCAACAACAAGATATCACCTTCAGCTATGATCTCACGGATAAAATGGTATTTAACATCAATATGTTTTGTCTTTGCATGATGTACCTGGTTCTTGGCCAAATGTATTACACTCTAACTATCACAATAAATAATAGTCTCGTCCTGTAGTAAGCCCAATCGCTTACAAGCCCTATAAGCCAAATAACTTCTTTCATTGCCTCGGTAATAGCCATGTATTCTACTTTAGTCATAGACAAGGCAACTACGGTTTATAGCATCGACCTCCAACTTATCAGAGTTCCTGCAAGTGTAAACATATAACACATAATAGATCTCTTACAATCCAAATTACATGCAAAATCAGAATCGACATAACCAATAACCTTATCACCAAACATGTTATCTCTATCAAACATCAAACCCACATGTAATGTCGCCTTAAGTAATGCAAAATCTATTTTACTGCATGTCAATGCTCTTTTTCTGGATTAGCCATATACTTGCTAACAACAATAATGGTATGAGAAATATCTGGTCGAGTGCAAACCATTACATACATGATGCTTCCAATTACTCTCACATAGAGAACACGTGATATGTATTCCTTCTCAGCATTTGAACTTGGAGATAATGCTATTGACAATCTGAAATGTGTAGTAAGAGGAGTACCCACGCCCAAAATTTTATTTGCTGAACCTAAATCCTTCATCTCAAAATCTCTGACAAGCAGAGTCTTCAATTTATTAATTTATAAAGAATTCTTCATAGTAATAAGTATATCATCTATATAGAGTAATAAATAGATGAATGAACCATCAATAAATTTCTTAAAATAGACACTATTGTCATACTTACTTCTGGCATACCTATGTCCAATCATGAATGTATCACAGTGCTTATACCGCTGCTTAGGAGACAACTTTAGTCCGTATAATGACTTCTTCAGC